CCATGGCCGGAGCCCGGCATTGCCGGCTGCGCCGAGAGGATGGGCTCGCTGCTGGACGGGGGGATGCTGGGTTCCAGCTCGCTGATGGCCTCGCCGGGACCCTCGAAGGCGCCGGCCGCCAGCTCGCTGCGCCGGCTGGGGTCGCTCAGCGACTTCTTCTTGATGGTCTTGCCATTGGCCTTGTCGTCGCCCAGCTTGGCCATGGCGCCGGGCTGGCTGACGATGGTGCGGATGAGGCTGCTGTAGTCGCGGGGGCCATCGCTGCCCAGGGACAGGTCGCTGCCTGCGCTGCCCGCGCTGCCCGCGATGGTGGCGGGCTGCGGGATGCCCGCCTTGGCGCTCAGCGAGCCCAGCAGGTTGCTGTCCACGGAGAAATTCTTTGCCTCCTCCGCCACCGAGCACCGCCGGTGGGGCATGGGGTCGCTGAGGGAGCGGTAGGGCTCGGTGCCACCCTCGCCGCCGCCCTCCGTCCCATTGGCGCCTGCTGACGGGAACTTACGTCGGCGCCGCAGGCTGCCAGGGGTGCTCGGCGTCTCGGCTTTGCCAGCCGCAAGGTCATCGACGGCCGCTGCTGGGTGAGCAGGCAGCGGCACCTCCGAGTCCCCGGCCACCGGCCCGGCGGCGGGCAGCATCCAGGAGTCCACAGCTCCGTGCAGGAGCCTCACGGGCTCCGGCTCCGTGACGATGCCCTCGTCCGTCACACTCGACTCGTGACCCGATAGCTCCTCCACGGATTTACTGTGAGCGAGGCTCTCCTCCGACCGCACGTCCTTCAAACRTTGCATGCTCTCCGCCTGGCCCCGAAGGGCCGCGTCCGTTGTCCCCGTGGGTGCCACTACCTCAGCGCCCTCCACACCTCCGCTGTCCTTCTGTTCGGCGGCAAAGCCRTAGTCCTGCTGGGAACCCATCCTGCTGATCTTCTCAAACACCTGCCTGGCCTCCTGGATGTACTGGTCCTGAATGACTACGGGGAGAGCGTCCTCATCCCCCTGCCGTGCCCCGACCGGAGCCACCYGCTCCTGGCTGTCGGCAGAGGCCAGGAGGAGCTCGGAGGAGCTCTGCTTCATGGCGCTCTGTAGGAAAAGTCGCCGCGTCCCGGATTTCTCGGAGCAGGTGAAGGACTTGGCGCGACGTAAAGTGGCCGTGAGGTCCTTGAGCGTTGGCCGCTCGCCCGGCGCCCAGCGGTTTTGGGGATGAGTGGCACCGCAGCTGCCTGGGGAGGGGCTGGAAAGGCTGGAGCATCCATCGGAGCCCGCCTCGAGGCCGATCCTCACCCCTTTCTTCTTCACCTTCAGCTCTGAGAGGTCTGATTTGAGGAAGCTGAGGAGCGTCAGGGTCTCGGTGGCGATGTCGGGGTTGGACAAGGATTTGCGGTGCTTGGCCCGCTCCCCCTCCAGCCCCGGCTGGTGCGGGCTCCCGCTCCCACAGTCCGGTTTGGCCTTGGCCACGCTCTGGGTCAGCTTGGGCCGGACACGGACCCCCGGCTGTCCCCACGCCAGGCCGTCGCTGGCCCCAAAACTGGGCGATCGATAGATACCGTAACCCGCCTGGAGAGTCCGTCCTTGGTTGGGCCAGCAGACCCCAAACTGSTCCTCTTCCTTCAGCGTCTCCGTGCTGGAATAACGACTGCTGCTGCGGGACCCGCCGGGGCTGCCGAAGGGCAGGATGTTCACCTTGGAGACGCGGGCCACCATGGGCAGCGGGTGGCGGGGGACCACCCTGGGGCAGCCTTCGGCCTCGGCATCGCCGTCCGCCGTGCCCTCCTTCTTCTTCCTCGCGGCGCGGGGCCGGTGGGCAGCACTCTGCCCTTCGCCTTCGCTGCCCGAGGAGGCGCGGGGAGAACGGGCCGCCGCGGCTTCATCGTCCCCGTTGGAGCGGGGTGATGGGGAGGAGGAGGGTGCTTGCGGTCGAGTCGAGTTATGCCAGGAATGCGGGCCGGGCTCCGGCGGAGCTCCGCGGGGAGAGCGGAGCGCCGGGTGCGGGACGCGGCTGCGGGGCGGAGGCGGCGGGGGAGCTCCGCGGGCGCTCCCGCTCCCGCTCCCGTGCCCCATCCCATTCCCGGTCGCCCCCGCCGGCTGCCGGCAGCTTTCCCCGAAGAGTTTCCGCATCGCCGGGACGCTGGGCCAGCGCGGCGGCTCCGCGTTTAACCCCGGGCCCGGCGGCGACGGCGGCGGCGGCGGGGGCGGCGGTGGAGCCGGGGACGGCGGCTGAGCCCCGGCATGAACCGGGCCCGTCGGCTCCGGCTCGGTAAAACGAAGCGAAAGCTGCCGTACCGAGGGGGCCAGGCTGCCAAAAGCCCGGCCCGGTTGTTGCTCCGCGATCGGCGCTGAAACTTTCCTACCCGGGAAGAAGAAGGAGGAGGAGGAGGAGGAGGAAGGCGGGGAGGAGGCGGGCAGGAGGCACCGAGCCGCCGCTACCCCCCGGCCGCTGCCCCCCTCCGCC